ATTTAGTGAGAAAATCGAACTGAACAAAATTAAATTTTATAGTAAAAATTTATCTGAATTGAACTAAACCGTTTCAATTTATTCATAACTGAACCGAATCAAAATAATTGGTTTAGTATACCGTTTAAAAATTCCGAACCATACCAAACTATTTGTCAAAGAACCGAACCATTAAACTATTTTTCAATTTAAAAAAAAATTAAATTAAAACTTGTTTTTAGAATTATTCATTTTCAGTTTTAATTTGGTTCGAGTTTGGTTCGGTTTCAGTTTTGATTAAGTTCTAGAACAGTTTTGTACAATATAATTTGATTCACTGCCCGAACATAACGGTTTAGTTATTTTAACTTCAATTCGGTTCAATTTGACAGTTGAATTCATTTCATGATTTTTTTATCAGCCCTACCAATAATACTTAAGAATGTTTGGATTAATGACTATGGTGTTACCAATAATATGACATTTGATTCTATACTATTATCCTTTTATAATTTGATGTTTGGGGATCTCTATAATATTTTTGGTGCAAATGATTTGTTCGTAATGAGTTTACTCGTGTAACTTGGATCTTTTGGATGAATACTAAATTATAAGTATCATAATTATTTATTTAATTTTTTAATATGATATAAACACAAATTTAAAAAAGACATAAAAATAATTTGATCTTGTAAAGAGTCTATAATGTTTTTCCAATTTGACCAGTAACTATGGCATTATTCATGAATTTACGTGTTATGTGTGTCAACACTCCTTAATAAAACAATGTTTCAAAAAAAAAAACTTGTCATTTATTTGAGTTATTCAATCTTTCCTATTTTAAATGTATATTCCCAACTCTTATTAAGTGGAGACATTTCTTAATGGTGTTTATATGATTAAGTTGGTCTTCTTTCGGCTCTTAAGTAATATTAGTTTTGTTCAGTTTATTCTCTCGAAATCAAAATTATGCTTGAATTATGTTGAACTTCTGATGTGGTGTTGTAAGTCTTCGATGCGGTGGAACACAGGGATGGACCTGTAAAGTTAGAGCTCCAATAGTCAAGCCAATTAATGGGTCTAAAAATATGATACATTAAAGTATGAAAAGTGTGTGTACCTTAGGTCATACGTGTGTAGAAGTATTTACACTCTTAGATCAAACAGTCATTGGGCTTTCTTTGTAGTAATAAAGGGCCTTGTTTTATTAGACCTTTAATCGGCCAAGAACAGTTCCTATATTATAGAACCTTGAATCTCTTGTATTTCTTTGTGTTTCATTTTTTCAGGTTCATGAACAATATCGAAACAAAATAGGGTACTGTTCTGGCCTGGGCCCAGCCTCACCTCGCGGCCCAGCCCAATAACGCACAGCCAAGTCCCAGTGTGATTTGAGTAGGCTGGCCGGGCACGCGACTCCCACGACGGGCAGGACATGATCCCGCCGAACAGGACGGCGTGCTTCCAAACGCCCCCGGCGCTCTTCCCTAGTCGGGCAGAATCCCCATACCAACAAGTAGGACGATATGTCTCCCCCGCCCTTGTGTGCTCTCCTCCGCGGGCAGAACAACGTGCTCTCGGGGGACCTCGCGAGCTCCCCTCCGCGGGGAGAACAACGTGTCATGCGCACGTTCTCCACGTGCTCCCCTCCGCGGGAACACGTCATCCCCCAACTGCCCACCTCCGAAAGAGCAGGTCAAACCCACTTTCCGGATACCACGGGACAGTTGGACTAGGGCGAAGACCACGTCCTGGTCTTCACTACGCCACGTAAGCCCTAGCAGTCACCTGGGTTGGGTCTGGCCATCCAGCCCAACACAAGTGACCGTTGGCCCAGCGTTGGGGTCTCTCTATAAATACCCTCTTCCTAAAGAGGGTCAGGTAATTCACTTCTTACCCCATTTCTGTACTTTGCTCTCACTCTGCCTAATTCCTTACTTTGGCATCGAAGTGTCTTGCAAGTACACCCCCCCTTTTTTTCCTCCTCAGCACCGGTGAACAGGTAGCAGTCCAACAGCGTGTGGTCAGCCCGTGATCCCCTTCTGATCAGGTCAGATCAAGTACAAATGTTATTATCCTCCTAATTATAAAATTTTGGTTTTCAAAGGTGAAAATATGTCATACTTCACTTATTCTCAATAAATGACCTAGAGGTCATGTTCCTGAACCTTGGTGTTAACTTCCATATAGCACCTATAGATGATCTCACTCATGTACATGAGTTGTTGCCTATCTAAAGTGATAGTACTAGCTCAACCCATGAACCCAAGTCTAATTATTTCTAGTTTAATGGTTAAACTTGAACATGAGTTTGTTTCTGATCATCCAGTGTCTTCTATCTTATAGGAATCATTACCTTTAGCACCAACTTTAGTTTACTAAGAATCAGTGTCTTCTATTTTTTGTTTTTGCAAGATGGGCCTAAAGACGCATGAATTACAACGTTAATCCTCGTTTCCATCTACAAGGGTATCGAAATGCACTGGACCACAGGCAAGAAAAAGACGAGTTTGAAACCATAGAACCTACTTGTTGCATATACTTCTTAATTGTATTATAATTTTTTTTAATATGTGACAGTTTATATGAAGGCCGTACATTCAATTCCTGGTGCCCAATCTTAGAGATAGCCAGATCTGGAGTGCTACGACTTCTCTTATTTGTTTCTATATTGTTGAAATGCATTAGACAAATAGGATAAAACTCCAGTTCTGGTTTGAACAACAAATCACTTCTCCACCAAGGTGTCTAAGGGAACACCACACAATGACGATGAAAAAAGTCCAAAAAGTTCATTGGTGAGAATTAAACAAAGAGGAGGTGAAAAAATGGAAACATAGAAGATATTTGATTTTGCAGGGGGGCGCGGTAGTTGGTGAACGCAAGTCAAGCCAAGAGTATTTAAATTGGTTTCGTGCAATTCCGTATGTGCATATTGCTCCAGACCAATTTTTGACCGACCCTCGCGTGCAAGGTTCGTCATCAACACAATCAACTGCCGCACCAATGCATCAGGATGTGCCACCAACATACACATCTCAATTTGGGGGACGCGCATCTTCATCCGCTCAACATACATACCAACGCACACAGACCACCTAACAACACATATTTTATGCACCCTCATCCCAACACCAAACTCCCTACACTCCACTCCCTCAACAAAACTACCACTACAACTACAACCAACAATATCAACATCAATCCAACCTTCAACCACCCTTACAGTTCACTCCAGTTCCTCTGCAAAAACAAGGCACTTTCATCTTTCATAGAAAATATGTACTACTTGATCTTTTGTAGAATGCAAACTAGCAAGTGTTCCATTGAAAAAAAAATCATTGGATAAGCCTGGAAGAGAAAAGCATCAAGACCGACAAGGGTCACTATCAGAGATTAGTGAAAAAATTGATTTACCTGAGGAGAAAAGTATCAAAGCTGACAAGAGTCAATATCAGAGATTAGTGAAAAAATTGATTTTCTTGGCACAAGCTTTTGGCATATGCAGACAATGTAGTCAGCCATTTAGGCGTTATCTCAAAATGAGACACTTTCCAGTTGTAGAACTTGTTCTACAATATTTCAAAGTCACTCTATGAAAAGAATCATGAGTAGGGCTGACAATGAACCGAACCAACTCGAAAATAATTCAAAATTCGATTTGACAATTAAACCGTTGAACTAGGTTCATGAACCAAATGAGTTGAGTATGAGCGAAAAATTAAGTTCGTCAACTAAATGAGCTGAACTTGAACTATATATAGTTCGACTCGTTAGGTTCATGAGTCAACTCGATTACATATGAGAAGAATTATACTGTCTTTAAGATTAGGTTTAAATATTTACTTCAAATCTTAGACAAACTTAATCTTCAATTTAGTAGTTTTTGAATTAGACTCTCAAATATATCTCTTGAAAGTTGTGTAGGTTTTGAATTAGTAGATTTCAAAAATAAAGTTAAATTTCAATATGATAACTTTTATTTTATTTTAATATTTTATTTTTAAAAATATTTTTATTTAAAATGTCAAATATACTAAAATATATATATATATATATATTTAAAAAAATAGTTTTTAAGTCCGTGAATCATGTGAGTTGAACCTAATGAGATGAACCTAACGAGTTGAACTGAACTGTTCGTGAACTTATAACGAGTCGAGTTTGAGCTTAAAAAAAAGTTCGTGTCGAACTCGAACTCGAACAATTCTTAACGATTCGAACCGAGCTGAGGTGAGTTCGACTCGACTCGATTCATTTCCAGCCCTAATCATGAGCTATAAAAATAAGGCAAAACAGTGGTTGCAGCACTAGTGGCGCCTTTGTAGAAACAACTCCACGCTACAGTTCCTGAATATGCATCTAACAGATTCTAAAAGACAATGAAACTGGACTATTAAGAATCATTTCACTATTTCTAGAGAGAGAAAGAGGGGAGGGGCTTGATTCCTATTATTTCTATTACAGAATGATAATATTCTATCGGTAAAAGAAACTAACAATGAATACTTTATTACAAGAAGAACTCATTCAGAAGGCTCAACATACGTCTAATCTAGTATAGTGTTTGTGGAATTGGTCTATGATATCTGGATAAACTTTCTATGGCATAATACAACAAGTTTACTTCCATTTCATGATTTGGAATGATCCATATACAAATGAACAGATATACATCCAGAAACAACAAAAAAGATACGAAAAAGAATGAATCGCCTCCTCCGTCCTATTGCGCATTCCATCTTTTAACTGAACTTTTCGCCACTCTTGGGTGGTTCATATTCAACTCTTCGATTCACATAAATCCTCTAACAGGCTGCTACTGTTAGTCTCTCCTGTCTCTGATGCATTGAAAAACACATGAGAATCCGTATGAACAATCTGAGAAGATTTCAAAATGAATCCATATTCTGAGAAACCCCCGAGGTAATAAAGGGAGTCACAGTTGTTTCGAAATTTGACCTTCGTGTTATATGAACAATCTTTGTCACTCTCAAAATGCATATGTACATGATAATTCATTAGTCACTTCCACTGTTATGTCTATCTGAAAGCAATAGATTAAGGGAGGGAATTAAATTATGGACTCGTATAACTCAAGGCATCAAATGGATATTATAAATGAGGAAGAGTTTATCAAAAACCTGATGTTCGTTTCCCTTCCATGGCTTCTTTCTTTTCTTGGCAACTTGAGCATAGGAAAGGTCCATCCCAGGGGCGCGGTTTCCCTTGGTTAAGCGCACCCTCGTGTACTGAAATACCCTCCCCGGGTTTCATCTCTACTTGACATACTGCACACATGAATAACTTGAACATGTTGCAGAGTGGATATTTTGTTTCGAACCTGCAGCTCAGACAAAGACGTTTCCATGTCAAGAGAGACAACTAGAGAGCCAGCTGCAAACATTAATGACACTAAAAACAAAACCATACCTTTCTGAAAGCATGGCAGATCCTTCTTCGTATAATTCCCGAACTATATCTGGCTCAACGTATTCTTTTTCAATATATGATGGCTCAGAGGACTTTTTGCGAAAAATGGCCTTCAACATTCCTTTTACCGGTCTTTTTTGTGTTGGTGCAGAAGTAGGTGGCTTCTCCTGGGGTAATATATCAACCACGATGCAGGTTGTGTCATCCCTAAGTCCCTTTGCTTGCACAGATTCCTGCAGAAAGAAAAATGACAGGAATAAATGGTAGAAATAAGCTAACCCACAAAGTGACAAGGTGAAATTAAAACATTCAAAAATTATTTAAAAGATGTCTGTTGAGCATACTTTTATAATATGTGGTGCTGCAGCCTCCGCTGACATGCCACGACAACAATCAAGGACCGTTTCTGCAGATAGAGCATCCCAGACTCCATCACTGCAGATAATAAGTCTTCCTCCTGAAGTGGATATCTTGATAAACCAAAACAAGAGGGGGAAACAAGGAATTAGAACAATCAAGACAAAAAATGTCTTGTGAATTCCATACAAGAAAATGGTTTAAAAGTAATTAGTACATCCTATCAAATATTAAATCACGTTTACACAGCTACTTCATTTTCCATTACAATACTTCCATTTTTATTTCATCAATTACTGTTCAAGGGTACTCATATTTTTTCGGAAAACAAAAGGCCTTTTTAAAAGGAATTAGTTAATCTTATGAAAAACCAGGTGCTCTTTTTTAAAGGGTAGAAAACCATGCTGTGGAGAAGCTATATGTGCCTTAGATATAGACATTAAAACAATATAAAAATGAACTTAAGTAGATGGAATAATAATATACACTAAAGTAAAATTCAGAAACAGCATAGGCCCAATATTGCTGCATATGCAAGGGATAGCATTGACTAACCTTCACTTGCTTTACATACGGTACAGGGACAATAAATTCACCAACATCCATATCACCGATGGATCGAGAAAGACACAGGCCACCAGGCCAACATCTCAACGGGCCAACCTATGCAAACCATTAACCTAGTCAGGCAAATAAGTTTGACACAAATACAAATTACTGCTAAAAAAAATACTAATGAATCACAATAGAAGATAATCTAAATATTATCAAATATAGTAAGTACAATACAACATTAAAAGCATAATACGTTTTCTTAATATATCGTAAAATTTAATGACTAAGACCTATGTTATGAGTACTTTTAAGTGAAAAGACATGATCCTACGACTAGCAGCATAGCAGCATCAATCACTTTCCTCTTGATTCTCCATAGTACGATTAACCTAATTTCCTTATGAATCGCTTTTTATGTAGTTTATATCTTTTAAAGCATCTTATGCAACAGAAATAAGAAATAGTATTTACTATAAGGCATCAAATCCATTCTTGGGGGATTAGTCTTGATTGAAGCCCTATATAGGTAGGTAGTCAATACTACCAGATAATAATAGATAAAGTTTAATGGAAATGTACCTCCGCACCTCCACCTGTATTTAGCCGACCAACTTCACCCCCACATGAAGTGATGCGCGCCCTCCTGATTAACGAAAAAGAAAGGATGAGACTTCACTACAATGTAATGGAGCAATTCCAGACAGTTCTTCATAAAAAATTCCAGTAAAAACTTACTCCTCTTCATTGGTGTCTAGTCGATGATCTGCTGACAAGTAATGAATCCCACCTTCAGAAGGTTCAAGTATGCAACGGGAATCACCAACTGATGCCACTGTTATAACCCATCCTTCTATAATCACAAAGGTTACGGTTGTTCCTGATGTTTTTGCTGTACAAGTGAAGATAATATATGCATATCAACAAACACCTCAAGAAAAAAATAAGGATAAAAATTTTATAATTCAGAAGTACAAGAATTGTTAATCATGGCTCATTTGGTATATTAAGCTCAAGCTGCAAGAAACGAAATCACTATTTATTTTTATTTTGACATGTGGAATTAGACAGATAAAAAAGAACACTGCGAATAGTAGTCTACCAATAGAGGTTAGAAAATTATAACATAGGTTTTAAAATACTTCCATTCAGTATGCATAGCTGTTTTTTGTCCCTTTATTCTTTAACTTTTTTACTCTGAGAATTGGGTACAAGTTACTTTGATAATATTGTTAAGTTACCCATAAGAAGCCATTCTGTTCAGAATTCAGTAGCCAAGAACAAACAACATGTAATTACTCATACCTTTCTGTTGAAAATCTTTATCAGTTTTTACAAAGCCAGCAACCAAAGCCCTTGGCAATGCTGCTACCCACTCATCTCTGTTGAGATCTGGGGGAATGGCACTTAAAACGTTGTTCAGAAGATTCTCCTTGGTATAAATAGCAGCAGCAGATCCATTGTGTCCATCAAATAGCTGTAAATTTTCTGCATCAGAAAATGGAAATGCAAAAAGGAAAACAACAATCGAAACCAAGAAAACCATGGTATCACTGAGTCATATTATTTGCATTCGCCACATAAAAGGCTACCACTATTCTTGATATCCAGCTAAAAAAGTGAATTAGGAAGAAAACAAAGTTCGTTTGCTTTCAAATACACCCAAACAGAACGCATTCAGAAAACAAAACTATAACATAAAAACCATTGCTTGGAGGGGGTTGTTAGGCACTGAGCAAATAAGACAGCAATATCATCCTTCGTGTAGATAGAGGTATAATATTCAATTTGCTAAACTATTTCCTGTTTAAACATGCCATGAACTAAAAGGCAAAGTTCTATACGAACTGGCGCAACACAGGAATTGTTGACAACCAGCAGGATATGAACCTCAGACCTTGAGAGGAGCACACTCTCAGAAACCCAAGCATTCACCAACAGGCCAACCCTTTGTTACTCAACAACAAGTTTGACAGATTCACACAGATTATGACAAAATAAAACTATGCTTTGGAGCGTCATCAAAATCATAGTGCCCGTGTGCCACCGTGGTTTTACCAAACTCAGCCAATCCAAACATGCACAACATAGTTCAGCAGCTTTTTTTTCCACCCAAATCATTTACTTTTCTCAATCATCATTTCATGCAAAGATCATATGCAAAATAAGACCCAAAAAACACATGACATTTTGATGCCTCTGAATAACATACAAAATCAATATAAAACAATCCATCAAATTATAATTCAAAAAGCAAAAACATACCCCAAAAACAGAATAGGTAGAAACCCCATCTGCAACGACTCTTTGTCGTTCGGTCTTTATCAACGTGAAATCCTCTCCTTTCTTGTTCTCGCTAGCTTGGCTATACACAACAACCAAATCCGGTTTCTCGATTTTCTCGTTCGCCAATTCCCGCTTCAAGAGCACTGCAAGAGGAACGGTATGGTGTTGGTGTTGGTGTTGGCGATGGTGTTCATTCCGACCAGACATTGTTCCCTCTAATCAACCTTAATTTCTTCAAATACACACAACCAATATCAAACACAAGAACAATCTCTGCTTCAATTTAACAATCCTCCACCTTGGTAGGTTACAACAAAAATCCTAAATTAGAAAAACAAGTCAACAATCATAAACAGAAATTAACTAGCATTATGCAAAAATAGATCGCAATGGAGATAATTAAAATACGGTTATGGAAATTAATCAGTTAGTTAGTTAAATTGAATATGGAAAAGGAAAATTACTTGAAAATGGAAGAAAAAGTGAGTAGCAATCAGGCGCGAAAGTATTGAGATACGTTGAAATGCAGTTGTCGAAAAACGTGGATCCCGGCGTTCTGCAAAACTTGCATCGTAGAGAGAGATGAATGAATGAATCAATGAAGGAAAGAGAAAACCGTTCATTTTTTCTTGCCCCAAAAAACGTAAATAAAGTAAGAGAATGAGTTGGCCAAAACGCAGCGTTTCATAGCTCGGCGCAAGCTATTTTTTGGAGGCAGCAAGTTACCGTAGGGCCCGGTCAATATCAATGTTTTTATTTTATTTTTTTCATTTTTCTACACTAAAGTAGATGATTTAATTTCGAATTTTAATACTTTTATTAACAGTAATTTTTTACCTACAGTGGTGGTAACATCGAATATCTAAAATCGCCAACAATGAGACAATTAATTGGTCCTACATTTTCCTTTTGGTTTTGCCTTATCCATACAACGAGGTGATTGTCTCATCATCTCAGATAAATTGTTAGGGAAAGGCTAAGAAAGTGATTATGTTAGTGACAATTTGGGTTGATTAACGGTTTATTAGCAGTAATTTTTTATTATTATTCCGACCAAAACCTAGTTGATTTGTAGTACCCGCAATCATCGGTTACTGTCAAAGACAAACCAGTGTCGTACCGCTTTCATATGGGCGTGTCCACACTCCACGCCATCGTCAAAATGAACAGCGGGGATCAGACCTAGTGTGTACAGATGTTTATTATGAATATGTTTTAACATTTAATTTTTTTCTTGTATTTATTTCTATTTATATTCATCAATATTTATACACATAATAAATATATTTTGGCTGGCTTTTGTCGCATATTTTTGGATTTATAGTTTACTAGCGTCCAGACGGTCACTTGCTCCACTTTTTTATTTCACACATATAAACATAAATGTTATATTTTTATTTAATCTTAATTTTATACGGAAATTATGTGGGAAGTTATTAGTAAGGAGTTATATGAAAGATGATAGTAGTAGTTCAATTGAAGTTATTGTGTAAGTTATATATTTTAAAATAAGGATAAATTTGGTATAAAGAAAAAGTTACACCAAAAATCAAGTATTGTCTTTATATATGTTATAGATTATAGATAAATTTATAAGACAAATAAAAGACTTATTCGATAATGATTTTTTTATTATGAATTATAATTTATTTTACTAATATTTTTCAGATGTTATTTTAATTATGTTTTATTTTATATCTTATTTTTATTATTTAAATTAATACTCAATTTTTATTTTTATAATTTATTTTAATATAAAATTAAATAATTATGTATTAAATGTAAAGAATATCACATAATTATGTTATTTTATATTTATCAATTAGTTGAGCCGTTAATTTATCAAACATTTCAATTAGTTTATCAGCCATCAGTCATCAGTCATCAATTATAAATTATAAATTATTAGTCGTCGGTCATCGATTATAAATTATCAACTAACTTTTTTAACCAATCAACCTTAATTTTTATTTGATATAAAAATTAAGTATTATAAAATCAATCATAGAATACATAAGAATTTTTGTCAAAATACAATGTCGGCACTGAATTTTTCTTGGATCAAGGTGAACAAGTTTTTGCATCTGGGTTCAGATGAGTTTAAAGCTTATTTTTAAAGGGAGATTTTTAAATGCATCTTATATATTACTTAGACACCACGTGAAATACTAAAATGTCTTCAAATTTTAGAAATGTTTCTTCGGACGCACTCCAAAATACATTAAATATATGCGTAAGTGAATCACACTTTTATTTTTATAAAAAAAATAGTCTGAAAACACATTTCTAGAACTTTTAATCCATGTCAGGGTATTTGTTAGTCACAGTGAGAAGTAGAGGTGATAATAATGGAACCCATGACACTTTACGGAGATACATCTTCGCATTTCAAGGATGTATCTCCAGGCAGTTGTTTAGGCAAAATAGAGGTGTCTCACCTACAACGTCTTTGTTTGTGTGATTTTAGATCCGTTCGAAGATGTATCTCTGAAATTTGTGGGGCATTTTAAAATTTTTAAACGGTATTTTTCAACCCCATAATGTGCGCTTATAAATTTTCATTTTTAAATTAAATGGGATCCCTCATTATCACCATAATCGAAAGAGATTTTTGACCAAGTAATGACAATTAAGTGTAAGAAAATGCTCTTTCCGCTTTTAGGGATACGCCCCACACCTCTAAAAATTTAAAAATACTTTTCATGCATCTTCGGACGCATCTAAAATCACATTAGTCTTCGCCTTTCTAAGATTCAACCCATTTTGAAAAAATATGATATGGAGATGCATTTTTGTATATCATTTTGATTGTTCCTAAAATGCATCTCTGAAATACTATATGTGTATTGAGATGTTTGATTAACGACTCAGTGATGTTTCCGGAGATTTATATCCGTAAAGTTCACCTCAAATCCATTCGAACGCATCAAGTGTATTTGTTGGCTATAAAAAACACAATATTTTGTTCAGGTTTATTTGAAACTGAGATGTCTTATACCAGAGGCATCATTGGAGTGGATGACACATTTCATACAAGATGTTGAAACTTGGCCGAATCACTTTCTAGAAAAGATAGAAGAGTTCCTCAGGTTAAGCGACATTGAAAAAGAAACAAATAAGAAAAGCTCAAAGAAGGAACCTCCAATAGAATTTAGGTAGTGACACAAATTTTGATACATTTTTGTTTTAATCTAACAATGTAACTCGTTTTTATATGTAATGTTGTCCATCATTTTATAAAATTTAATGGTAATTTTTGGAAATTTTTGGTTTTTCTAAACTATGCATTGCATAATACACTAGTTTTGTATGAACAGTGGTTTCGGTGGGTCCGAGCATCTCCGAACAAACCTTTTAATTATTAAAAAAATATAGGGGATCATACAGATGTGCATCTCTGTAAATACCCTAATTTTTGAAGAAAAAAAATAGGGTGTATCCGGATATGCATCTCCTAAATATGTCCTAATGAGAGGATAGGGTTTATAAGGTCCTAATTTATATACGACTTACATAAATAAAGTTTCTCATTCCATTTTCTTTACAAAAACTAGAATGATATCTTGCCTTTGCGTATTTCAATGGCACAAATCCCCTGCTTCAATTTAGGCTCTTTCGAAAACATATTTCTCGTCGATCTAAAATCCAAACTAAATACTCTTTAGGGATATCCATAAAATCGGAGAGTTGTCAAGCTCGAGTACCGTTCACTCTCGATTGACAATAAATGGAAGATACAATTCACCTTGCTTGAACTGAAAGTTATAAGGATGTTGCAACATCCTGAACCACCTGTTTGTAATGACGTGTAACGTTAAATTTATGTTAAAGTTAACAATTATCTATGGATTGTTTATTTTGATGTTAATTTATGTTGTTTTTCTATTTTTCCATTGTTTCTAGTTTGTACTAACATGGCATATTCCGAAGATAGACCTCCGAAAAACTCACTGAATAAGGAGTTTAGGGATGTTACGGAGATGCGTCTCCGAATTAACCTTGTATGCTTACGGAGATGAATCTTTGAACTAAATTTTAATAAAATAGGGGTTTCTTAAAAATTTTATCTGAGGTGTGTGTGAAAAAGGTGCGTCTGGAGAAATTATTCTCCTTTGATCCTCTTAAGATCCCTATCATTTTTTTAAAAATATAAAATTCTTGAATATGAAGTGAAGTTTATTTTAAAGTGTTTGAAATCTAAGATTTAAAGGTGTTATGAACACATGAAACAATTATTGAACATAAACACTTCATTAAATTAAATTAAATTCAACAACGTACTACATTAACAACAATTTATTCATATAAATTAAAAATATCGATTAAACACAAGCAAGATTATGGAAGAGACTAATTATTTATTTCACTAGATTTAACCATGCGTGTCTTGATTTTATTAAATATTTTGGGAAGAATCAAGCTTAAAAAAATCAAGGTAATTAACTAGATAAGTCCTAAAGAACTATATTTATAGATATTAAGAATAAGATTCTCACATCATCGTCATGAAGTTGTATATTGGTGAACCAAACACATCCCTCAAAGTAGATTTGTGGATGACAACACTCAAACATGAGCATCTCTCTTGTGTCGTGGTGATTGAGACAACAATTTAGTTGGTCTTTCATATCAAACAATGTAACATCGGCATTGATCATAAAAAAATGGGCATGAGTCCCCTTATTGTAGTAAATTTCGGCTAGTTTAGTGTTTATTTTAATTGGGTTTGGGTAAAAGTTTAATGTTTTGCATTGTAAACTACAATGAACTAAACATATCAAATTATACAAGTTTTTATACATTATAGTTTATAGAAATGATCGGTGTGATCTAGATCATACATTAGAAAATCGTATATACTTAAGGTTCATATTCTATAATTTAAACTAATTATTGAATTTTTTTACTGAGGTTCAAAATCTATAATCTAAACATGTAAAATACCTTATCAGTCTATGTTCGAATTCTACAATTTGAACATGTGTTTTGTTGACTTTTAAAATATTAATTTACAGAAAAATTAACAATAACCATAACATGAAAATATAAATTAATATTTGATACTAAACTAATCTAAAAGAATAAGAAATATAACATGTCATTCGGAATACATAATATCAAAAAATCCTAAACAAAATACATAATATAAAATACATTATACTACATCACACTCAAAATATCCCCCTTCTTTCTCGACCTCTTGTGTTGCCAAGCATTCTTAACCTCTCTTAAAATTTGATGCACAACATCGTGAACTACGATGCTCTATTATGCATTTCCACCAGATAGTATCCCAAATACATATCAAGTATTAGATATGCGCATTGTAACACCCTAAAACATGACACCCTTTATTTATGAAAATGAAACATATAATTTTTTCTCAACATCGGTGTTACACATTCTTAACATGTATCTTTCTCAAATTTATAACATAAAACAGCAACGGAGCTCAAAAACACATTGAAAACATTTATTTGTCTCAAACACAAAATACTTCATACTAGAAATCAAACTCTCATAGCACAAAAGTAACAAAGTAACTCATCCCAGTGTTACATATCAGAGCGACAACTAAAATAACTCAAAAACGGTAAAATAATGAAGAAAGCCTATACGTCAT